TGAGTAGTTTCCAAATTACTTCGCGGTCAACGCTGTCGAAGGCCTTCTCAAAGTCTATGAAGTTGAGGTAGAGGTTTGATTGCCATTCCATGCTTTGTTCGATGATGATGCGTAGAGTTGCAATTTGATCAGAACATGATCTGCCTTTCCTGAATCCAGCTTGTTCTGGTCGGAGTTCTGTGTCCAGTGCGTCCTTTATTCTCTCCAGGATGATGCGACTCAGGATTTTACTTGGCGTCGACAGGAGCATGATCCCTCGCCAGTTCTTGCAGAGTCCTAGGCCGCCCTTCTTTTGAAGTTTCACGAGATAACCCTTCCTCCAATCAGTAGGCACCTTTCCCTCTTTCCAGACCTTTTGCAATAATGGAGTCAGCATATCTGCTGTCGTCTCTGGGTCCGCTTTCAGTGCTTCCGGGGGTATTCCATCTGGTCCAGCTGCTTTTCCAGCTTTCAGAAGCTTGATTGCATTCATGACTTCAGTTTTTGTTGGAGGGTTGGTGTCAACTTGCAGTTGTGTACTTGCTGTTGTTGGTATTTCTGGACAGGTTTTAGGTGGTGGTCGGTTCAAGAGTCCTTTGAAGTGGTCCGCCCATTGTTTAATCTGTCTTTCTTCTTTGGTAATTGGGTTCCCTTGGCTGTCTTTTATAGGTTTCACTTGTGTTGATCTCTTCCCGGATAGAGACTTGGTTATCTGATATAGTGTCCTCAGGTCCCTTTTGCCTGCTGCCTTCTCAGCTTCAGTAGCCAGGTTGTCGTAGAATTGTCTTTTGTCCTTCCTGGCACTCTTCTTCACTTCTTTGTCCAGTGCTGTGTAAGTCGAGCTCAGCGCCTCTTTCTCTTGTCCATCTTTGCATTGAATCATTTTCTCTTTCACCATTCTCCTCTCCTCTATTAGCTTCCGTTGAGACCCATTCCTTGTCTTGTTTCTTCTTTCTTCCTAAAACCGTTGAACACGTTTCATTGAAAACTACCTTCAGAGAGTTCCAATGGTCTTCCACAGATGATTCCTCAGTGGTGCCACGTAGTGTTTCTTGTTTTACTCTGACAGTTGCAGTGAAAATGTCCTGTGTGATTGTGTTCTTCAGTTTTTGCGTGTTGAACTTGCATTGTGGCCTATCGCCAGCTATCCTCGAGGCTTTTAGCTTCACCTTGTACCAGATAGTGGTCTGAACCCACATCTGCTCCTCTCCTAGACCTTGTGTCCAGCAGGCTCCGTCTCCACTTCCTTGAGATTGAAATGAAGTCTATCTGGTTTTTGGTGTGTCCATCTGGTGAAATCCATGTTGCCTTGTGTATATCCCTGTGTTTGAACACACTGCCACCAATCACCAAATCATTGAAGGCGCAGAAGTCTGAGAAGAGTTCACCATTTTCGTTCATTTCACCGAGGGCCTCACGACCCATAGTGAGTTCTCTTCCTGTATTGTCTCCTTCCAGTTTCGCATTCATGTCACCCATCAGGATTTTGATATCACTCTTTGGGACGTTGTCCATTACTGTTTGTAATTGACTGTAGAAATCCTGCTTCTTCTCATGTTCTGAGACGTTTGTAGGCGCGTAGCATTGAATGATTGTAACCTTTTTTCCTTTTGAGTTGAACCTAGCTGTCATTATCCTGGAGGAGACTGGTTCCCACTGCATGAGAGCCTTAGCCGCTGTTGGTGACATCATGATGGCTACTCCCTCGGTGTGCTCGTGATCGTCCTCTGGGTGACCGGAGTAGATTATTGTCTCTCCAGTTGGCAGTTGGCACCTTCCGCATCCTTTCCATCTGCTCTCGCAGATTCCCAACACTTCTATTTTATATCTCCTCATTTCTGCGGCTACCTGAGCAGCCTTTCAAGTTTCCTACATTGTACGAAACTTCCAGTTGTAAAATTCTGTCAACACTTTTGAATTCAATAGTTCGAAATGTCACGTTAAAGCGAAGTACCTGCCCATCATCATGCGTCTCCATAGTCGCTTACTGTAAACACATATTCTCATTTCACATTTATTGTATCATAATAAGCTTTAAATTCTCTACTCGAAGCCTCTTATTCATAAGGATATTGCTACTTATCAGTCGGAAGATTGACGTTCCACCTTCAGAATCATCCCAATCACTGATTGGATTTTTATTTTATATTATTATTTTATTTTGATTGCAGCTTGATTCCACACCGTATTTTCAGTACAAGTATGGAGATTTCAGCATGGATATCGGTAGCCCAAATTTTGCAGGCCGACCATAGATATTGGGTGTGCGTCAGCAGGGAATCGAACCCTGGACAATATGCATAATCGGCGAGATTCCTAACCACTGTGTCATCGACGCACACGTGAATTTGCACTATAATTTATTAACAGTCTATTTGCTAATTACTTTTGTTTCAACGAGTTGATTGCGGATTGATATCAGTTGCAGAAAAATTGAAAACCAGCAGGGAGTACTGCACAGCTGCTTCATTCTTGTTTGTGAATCATCGGAAGTGCGCACTCACTGGGATTTTAACTCAGGGCCCTCCGGTTACACGGTAACTACGTATAAAATTCAGCCACTGGAAACCGATTCAATGGCAGACTAAGTGATAGAAGTTAGAATTCATGGACGACTGAATCGGATCCCAGTGGCTAAATGGTATACGAGGTTGCCCTGAAACCGGAAGGCCTTGAGTATGAATCCCAGTGGATGTGCACTTTCGATGATTCACAAACAAGAATGAAACATCTGTGCAGTACTCTCTGCTGGTTTTCAATGGTTCTCTAACTGATATCAATCCGTGATCAACTCGTAAAAACAAATGCGATCCTTACAAACCAATCATAGAAAACCTTCTATTGTATGTATCATTTGAACTAATCCTCGTGTCGAGTCAGCTTTATTGACCGTTTTTCTAGGAACTTAATTTCTCGTGCTCCCGAACACCTACCAGATTAGAGTTGAAAGAGTTTTTGTGAAAACTGTCAACAAGTGTAAACTGGACGACATCTTCAAAACTGGTCATCAAGCTAGAATTCATTGGTCTTTTCCTACTCTTTACCAGATATCGAATAAATTATCGAAAACTGCAAGCAGCAGAAGCCACTGAGATTCGCCTGAATCAATTGGAGGTCTGCGGATGAAAACAAAAATTTTGAGGCACCATTGCTGACCTGACCTGCTGTCAAGCCTGTGAATTCGTAAGCTCTCACTATGAATGAATTTATTTTCTACTGTGTTCATCCTACTACTTCATTTCAAACGTGTCACTGGAGACTTCCATCAACAGCTAGCTGCCACGCTCTCATCGCACTAACAGCAGAGAACAAAGTGAGATTGAGATGTGCTATCGAAGCCTCATATATGACGTGGTACTCAAAGGAAGAACAATAATGGTAATAATAATATTGTTTCATTTGATGGTCACCATTCACTAGACATGTGTGGATAAACGGTGTTTGCAAGTTTTGTTTTCTAAGCCTGTGATATTTTTCAAGTTTGACCACAGATTGGTATCAGTGGGATCAGATACTCGCTGAATACATTGTTGTATGATCGCACGTGAATCACCAACTGGATTATAGAGATTATATATATGTCATGTTATAGACTTTGAGTCGAACTGACGGGGTGAATGGTGCGTATTCTCGGCAATCGCCATCGCAATGAATACAAGGCTAGCAAAACTCATTCCGGAGAAGTAGAAGCAAACTTCGATTGTTTCAGGACAACACATTCCTAAAAGATAATGTGAAGTTTTCGAATTCCTGATCAACATAGTAATGAATTCACTGGGAATGCACACACTCCCAGGCACTGTCTAGAGTTAATGCACACAGCGCTCAATCATGTGAGTTCCCGACTCGTCTATTTGGAGTTACACATAATACGGTACAGTGATCGTGTTTGTCTCTCAGACTGCTGATGCATGAGTATAAAATAAATAGATTTTGATGATATTAGATGGTTGGAGACAATCGGCCACAGGAAGCCTTGGACCTAGGTTTCGTGCTGGTTAGCACTCACCAGTCAGTCAGCAAGGCGTATCTGCAAACTTGAAGGAACTCATGTCCCTTCTGAGATTCGAACCCGCGACACCCAGTGCTGCAGTCAGAGGCGTTACCACTGAGTTATTCGGGCTCGCGATTGACCTCCTGTAGGACTGTAGTGGATATTTTGATTTAACACTAGTAACTAGTAACTGACGAGTGCCAACTAGCACGAAACCTAGGTCCAAGTCTTCCTGCCGATTTCCTCCAACCATCTGATATCATCACAAACAATGTACACCGTGATGGCGAGCTACCTAGAGTTGGTGGCCACATTACAACCTGACTGTTAGAATTCATTCTGCACCAAAGGGAGGACTAGACGCATCACACTAGTTACTAGTGTCAAATCGAAAAAGCTTTTGCCTTTTCAGTACAATCAGGTGATTTTCATTACTCAGTTCACTTGGCACGTCGATTGATCATGGTGACATTGTTCTCCTCATAAGACGACTCACTCACAGCATTACCTCTAACATCACCTTCCAGCCTACTCTTGCTTTGTACACACCAGTCACTGGAAAACATCTCAACAGTCAGTGTCGTCAATTCAAGAGAGCGAATCAGAGTGTAACAACCACTGTTCGCTGATCACATTGCAGGAAATATGAATGAGACCAGCAGATTCAACACTCCATTCAAAGTCACTCGGACTCCCTCAACACAAGTCACGTCAACAGTGAGACGGCGATTCATTCTCACATCTCATCCGCATGAGTATCGCTGAGCACGAATCGTGTGTGTGTGCCAGCATCAGTCACTAGGTGGCTTCATCGAATATCAACCAATGCATAATGAATTCACTTCGGGTAAGGTCATGCGCTAACTTCGTCGTGGTGGGAGCATACACGCAATTCATCAGTCGGAAGCTGAAACTTAAGAGAACATCAGTGTGATGTGAAACCAAGCGCATATTCGCACACTACGTCTCATCGATGTACACGTTTGCGCCTTTCACGCCGAGAATATTGGGACACGAAAACAAAGTATTGACTGTTGTTAATAAAATTGAAGATTTATTATCGTAATTTACATTAAAGTGTATTTGTGAATAATCAGAATGAAAAGCATTCACAGAATGAGATATGTGACGTCTAGAGCAAATCACTTGTCCCGTTCCTTCACATTCCTCATCTTCTTCTCAGATCATCGCACCTGTGAGTGTCGAAATGGAAAAGAAGAGAAAATGAAAGTGACAAGAATTCACGTCTGCTATAAATGTTAAACACAGACTGTACATATCTGCACATTTCTCACTCAAATATGACTGAAATGTGTGCAACTTATTGAAACGTGTGGAAATGTGAAATATCATATCCCATAAGATTACTCTGCTGGAGGCGTGACTATTTCAGTGGAGGTTAAATGAGAAATCATTCACGACAAAGTCACTCATCGCATGATATCATTGCACAGCACAGCACAGCCCATCACAGCAAAGCATAACGTAGCACAACACAGCAAAGCATAGCATAGCAAAGCATAACCACTTACCCATTCGCATTTAGGACACCTTTCTTTACCTGGTGGATAATTTTCTAGCTCCTGAAGCAATTTGAAACACTCTATCAATACAAATCGTTCATCACATCAACATTGACGCCATTCTCAATTCACACTTCACAGCCGAATAAACACTCTTTGCATCACTCTAAAAACGACACATGAAATTCTCTATATCCCCTATGCGAAACAGAGACGAGCCTGCATTTTCCACATTCGAATTCAACACCTCAATCCATCGACAACTTATAAGACACATCAACGAAATCCCTTCCGCTCCTCACTTCCTTCCTTCCTTCCTACCTAAGTCAACCACTTCCTAATTTCTCTCCTCATATGAGCGAATGAAATCGTGCATCCATATCCTCACGAGTGTGGGCATACCATTCACTTTGCAAAATTCAAACACACTCAGTAATATTTCACATCGAGTCAAAGAAGTACACAAATCATGACAAATATCACATATCGCAGTTGTTTGTTATCTGGCCTTGCTGAATCACTCGACCAGCTGAATTCCCACTCAATCAAATCTGTGCGATTTCCTCCATTCTCCTTGTTTCACTGATTGTATTATTGTATGTCCATGTGTCTCCAAATGCACTCAGGCACAATTTCAATCTCCTTCCTGACGGAAGCCTCAGCTGATGATGAAGAACACGATGATGACGATGATGTTGATATTGGTGATAATAGTATTAGTGGATTTAACTCAAAGTCATTGTGTTTGTACATGTGGATGGACAGACTAGTTTAAGGAATCATAAAACTCACCGCATCGGTTAGATTTTTATACTGAATTGAATAAGAAATAATTTAAGGCAATGAAGGCAAATTGAGAAATATTGAAATTAGAATATTCACTGTCAAATGCGCACTCAGTTCAACTGAACTCCTGTTTCTAATTGGCTAAAAGTTAAAAACAAAGACTCTGTGTTCGTGCACATCCTCCGTTCGACTAGCTATCACTCAACGTCTTCACTGTTATTCATATTTCGGCGCGACAGAGATTGACGGAGAAGGCGTTGTTCACTACACAGACGAGTGATGTGAACGAGGTGATGTTAATGCGGCGTGAGTTGTCGCAAACACGCACTTGTCATTTCCCACAATCACTTCACAGAACCCAGTTGGACAATCTCAGTCAGTAGATCATCTCCCACAACCGGTCATTATTCTCACTCATACAATCAGTTCAACACTCATGAACTGTATTAGGTCGACAATGGAAATGTTTCGAGGTGAAATGATTTCCGTCAGTGAGTGAATCACTTCGCATTCGTCGAGAGATGATCATCACAAATGTGGAGATTTCCAATGATGTAGAAATTCACATCTACTCCATCTTCACTAATATCGCATATCCTTAAATGCCCACTGAATCTCAATGCCTGCTCTCAATACAAAATTTTTCGATTGTTCCACACCATTCGTATCAAGTTCACTGGAATTAGCAGGAATCTGATGATATGGGATTCTGGCTGTACACACGACAAGTATCACAGCTGAATGCACGTTACATCAAGTTCATTCATCAGAATTACTAATCACGAATCACCCTAAAGTACAAAGTCTAATAGGTGAGGCTGAATTCTCCAATTTCACATGTTGGAATTTCATATGAACGAATTCCGTTGGATTCTTCATCCATTGAATTAGCATTCATCCATGTGAATGAAACACACGTCAGTTTCCGGGGAATTCAAGCATCACTAAAATAAAACCTCTGCTTCAACTGTCCTCAGTGGTTAACTTGTTCAGCTTGTCATTGAATGATTCAATGCTCAAAGCAACACGCATTCGACATAAGCATGCAGGTGATACAAATAACTAGGCAGTTAAGTGAAGCTTTACAAATGTCTGTTTGTTACTTACGCATCGACAGGAAAGCGTTCCATTCGATAAATTATATGTGTAATTTCTGAATCGGGAATCAAACTCAGCTTGCTAGAGGGGAGCAGAAAACAGAAAGTAAACACAATCATGATGTTTGCATTAGTGATTCAAATTTTCTCCTCAACTCACTTGCCTCTGTGCATAATAGTCCAGATGTCAGAACCCAATGGTGAGTGACCACGTATATATATGTATGTGTGTGTGAGTGTCCATCCATTGTCAAGAAATCATTTCACATCACTGACATCACTATCAGCAAGCAAACCGTCGTGCGAGTGACAATTGATGACTGAGTGTCAGGTGAGTGGAACACTTCATTTCTACTGGAATGCAGGGTGGTGAGGGTGGTGAAATCCACAGAGTGCGTGGATAAACGGATTTAACAAAATCACAGATTTTATTTTCACAAGTGATGAAGGCGAGACTTAGGGAGAGAGAGAGAGAGACAATTTCTAACGTGCGATCATGACCAGTGCATTCAGAATGCATCAATGATTTCTATCCATATTGAAATTCAAGTAATTCAAGTCGAAATATTTTGAGATGTGCTCATATAATGTTTGTGAATAGGCACAGTGGTTAGGACTATCGCCGACCATGCACGTGGTACGAGGTTCGATCCCTTGCCAACGTACACCTGATATCTGTGGCCGGCCTGCAAAAAATTTGGTCTACCGATATCACATACTGAAAATTCCATACCTGGCTCCAAGGTTCCAGCTGTAATCCAAAAAATCAAAAAAGAAAATAACATCATGTTGCATCGACATTTGTATCAGGTTCGGTTGCATAGCGTTCACGACAATCAGGCGACCGGTGCAATATCAAAGTGAATTTCTGCTCAATATATCAGATTCCAGTCCCGTTATCTTTTCCTAATGAAACATAGCGCCAATGGAAACACGTCATCAACATTTCACTGCAGCTATCAATTATTATTATTATTATTGTTTCCTTTAATTCCTAGAGGAATATAGGGCTTCAGCTGTGCGTCTCCATTGCGTTCGGTTCTCTGCTAGATTCTTCACCTGGCTCCAGGTCTACCCACACGTTTTCATCTACTCCTCACATGACCTCTTCCAAGTCACCCTTGCACTGACGACCAACTCGCCGCTTCCATTTCGGGTTCCACTCGAGCAATGGCTTGTCTAGTGATGTCACTTGGTGGTTTCCTCAAAGTATAGCTCAGATTATGGCCAATCCATCTCCATTCCTTCCTGCCTATTTGTTTCACAATCGGTTCCTGCTGGGTTGGTTCGCTCATTGCTAGAGATATCTGTTGCTGATCTTTTCTCGCCGGCCATCTGATCTTGAGTGGTATTGAGCGAAGACAACTGTGAATGAAGATCTGTAGTTTGTTAGAGATACTCTTTACGACGCGCAGTGCAAGTCTCTGATCCATATAGTGCGTCAGTGGCACAGTGGTTAGGACTATCGCCGACCATGCACATGGTCCTGGGTTCGATCCCCTGCTGGCGCACACCCGATATCTATGACCGGCCTGCAAAAAATTTGGCCTGCCGATATCCATGCTGAAAATTCCATACTTGTACTGGAAATACGGTGTGGAATCAAGCTGTAATCAAAATAATAAAAAAATAGCAGACTGACTTCACATTGGAGTTGAAAATCCGGATCTCATTTTTGATGCTGAACTAGTGCTGTTGACCTCCACACAGACTTGAGAGTAGTGAAAGCTTGTCTTGCTTTCCTGATTCTTGCTTTGATATCCTCGTCAGTTCCGCCTGTAGTTGAAATGATGTTTCCCAGGTCGGTAGGTAAAAGAGGTTGTTTCTTTCAGGTTCCTTCCATTTATGCTGATTGTTGTCTGTTGTTGTTGTTGCTAATGTTATTGGTGGTGTTGGTCAGGAATCTTCATCATCTCTGTTTTCTCAATGTTCACCTGAAGTCCTATCTTCTCTGGATGCTTCTTCTGCCAACTTGTTGCTTTTCGCTTGCATATCTTCCAGTTTGTGGGAAAGCAGATATATATCATCAGCGAAGTTCAGATCCTCCAAGTTTTTTGTGTGAGTCCGTTTTATGCCTGTTTCCTCATTTTCCGCTGTTTGTCCCATTATCCAATCTACTGCAATCCGGAAAGCATACTCAAGTACACACACAAGGATCGATGGACAGCCTAATGTATCTGATCGTGCGAGACACAACAACACGCTACACGGCTTATCCAAATCACCACTGAATTCTTGTCTTACATCACTTGTAACACTACAAACACAACATAAACATCAACAACTGACTTACTGCGCTAGCTGAAAGTGACCATTATCAAATAAGAGGAGAAGAGATGAGAGCAGATTTCTACGTTTACAATGAACAACAAACATTTCGTGGTGGGAAATCAATCAATTCGAATTCACTGGTGACCAGAGATGAAGCTTCACGTACTCACAGCACCAAATCAATATCCATTTGTCTCCACCATATCACTCGTGAACAGTGAGCATCTTGAACAGCCACACATTTGATGAGTTTGTATCATGTGAACCACAGAGCAGAAAACACTCCCCTTTGTATTATTGATCATCTCCAATGTCTATCAACAAACATGGAACTCTCCGTGTGTGTGTGTGTGTCGGATATGTGTCGATGCACTAGGAGTAATTTTGCGAATTCGCAGAATATTATGTCAACAAATGCCGCTCATTCTCCTGAAACAACGAATTCAATTTTTCCGTCATATCAAACACACATATTTTTTGCGAATCTTTCCGTCATCTATTCACCGTGATTCCTCAATAAACATGTTTGAATTTCGACCGCATGAAGGCAAACGGAGCACACTGTAGTGCGGATAATACATGAATGAGAAGATAAACGGTGAGACCCAACGTCCTCATCAAATATACTTGACTGAGAATCTCAATCAATGACATTCCACACAAACACCTGTGGTAACACGAATCCATTGCAACAGTTACACAGTATGAAATGCAAGTGCAACCAGACTTGTATCACACATGCAGACACACATAGAGAAAAGAGACTGAATATTCGTGTGACTCGATATCAGATTGTCAGGCAAATGATAATATATATCTGTATACCGTCGACTTACCTTGTATTCCACTTGTCGACAGAAGAACGAAACAGAGGAGTAATGACCAGAAAGACATTGTATGAAGCACACTGTATGACGCAAAGTAATGCACAAGTTTGACATGAAGCCGACATGGATCTCCTTTTATACACTCGTAATCTCTGTCATCGCAGTTCGTGTCTGTGTATGTGACTGTCAACAGTGATTGTCTGTCACAGAGTTGACCAGACATGAAGTCAGTGTGCACCAATCGGTGTTATTTCTGAAGTTTTGTGTTGTAACCAATGCAATGTGAGGGGACTATCAATACGTTCAATGCCGAATACTCTTCTTCTCTCACCCACTCACTCATTCACTCACTTACTCTCTGATTGGCGGCGATTCAGTCTTCAGAAAATCAGCCAATCGCCTGAATGTAGACAAACATCGACTGCCCCCCCTATGTATCAAACTACCTTACACTCCAACTGAATGTGTCTGCCGACATTACTCAGTATTTGAATCACATATCGCATAACAGATATAGCCTATTGACAAGCAGAGTGAGAATGTTCACTTGAACATACATAGTGAAGAGAAGAGAATGGAAGTGTGTGCACAAGTGGTTATAGGGAAATGCGATCAATAGCAAGCACTAGTGATTTCTGAGAGGAGTGAGAGTAGAGATAATGTTGTTTATAATTGAACTGAGCAATGAAGTCGGAAGAATGTGAAGCGTAATGATGTGAGCCTTGCTAATAATTAAACATCAAAAATTTTTACGTTGTTTTGGTTTATAGAGACAATGAGAATGACCTATTTCTGTCTCTTAAGATGATTCCAACGAGGTCGACTGAGAAAGCGTGGGCTGGTTGGCGTAATAATTTGATACTGGTGATATTAAAAGTAACAGAACATATTTGGAAATGCTTCTATGCAATTAGGTGAGGCTCACTGTGAGTCGATTTACTCACTATAGATTATCTCAGTGGAAATCAGTTGTCAGTCTTGATGGTAACATCGAAACATCCAAGGAGTCAGCAGTCCCCTTGATTACTGATGAACACATGGATAGGTCAGAATGCAATAAAAGACGTTGTAGATGTACAAGATGTATTTTTATTTCTTTTAATGCTTCACGTTCCCATTGGAACATAGGGCATCAAGCTAGAGACTTGAAGTTTCGATAGCAGTGTGAATTTTTACAGGATGGGGTCGCTAACCTCATATCCAACCTTTCCACTTCACCAGGTTGAATTCTGTCTCAGCGAGGTAAAGAGGTGCGTCGGCACCGGGATCGAACCCCTGACCATGTGCACGATTGGCCAGCGTCCTAACCGCTGTGCCACCGATGCATTCATATCAATTCGACATTCGAGAGCAAGGTGACAATAAGCGCTTGTATGAGTCGGCATAAAATCCTGTATAAATATGCTACACTTGAGCTTGTCAAAATGAAGAGGACTTCACATGTTCAGATGAACTTTCTCTCTCGTGATATGTGGGATTCCTCGGATTTCTCGTCAAATTTCATGATCGATATATACGTCGGGTTGGAGAGAGTAGCCACCAAATTGAGGAATCATGTGTTTACATTCACAGTCAGTCTTCTGTGAATTTCCACGAAACTGACAACATCGTTTATGCTGAAAATCAGCAGAACAGGATGTAGGGGATTCAAGCCTTTTTCAAGTCACTGCACTGATGCATCGTTCAGAGGAAGACTGGTAAATTTCTTGAACATCATGTATTGGGAATCTGTGCTTCGCTCAATACGCTGACCCGTCTTCCAAAAGTCTCACTTAATAGGGTGATCACAGCAGCTTGACAACCAGATAAAGATTGAGCACAGCAAATGAAAAGAATGTTTATTTAGACTAATTGATGAAATTTATGTCAACTCGTCTGAAACCCAATGTATGGAAATTAGTCGGGGCGTATGCAGAGGGTTTGTTGAAGCCCTATCTATCAATTATCAGGTTTAAACCATATGTATGCTTTCGAAAACAGTTCTTCATCACATTCAAGCTTCCTTGAGGATCAAAACAGCCTACTCAATATCTAAGCGGATTGCAGCTGCACAGTCAGCTCACAGATCATTACGCATACTATCCACATAGTTCCAAATGCAATATACTGAGAAGCGTCCCAATAATAGTATTGCTCGTGAGCATTACAGTCTGAAGTATGACTGCTTGATCAAAAGTAGAGGCAAGCGATTCAGCTTGAAAATAAGAATAATAGAGAAATTTCGCTATTCATTGACTTCATATTACTGAATCATTATCACTTGTTTTAATGTCGTGCATTTCCACTGGAACATTGGGCTTCAGGAAGGAGTTTTGGCGCTCCGGTAGCAGTGGTGTTAATTTAATATGCGTAGGGTTAGCCAGCCTGAAGCCTAGTCATTCATACCCACCTAGCTTACTGACGGCTACGCGAGATTTGGAAGTATGTTGATGAGGTATCAAACAGAAGACCACCTACACGGTTGAACAGCTTCTAATCGATTGACGGTAGTGTGGAATTCATTCATGTTACAACAGTCAATATATCGACAGTCTATTCTACTTTGATACTACACACTACTGGTCACGCGACAACAGTAGTTCAGAGATACTCATGCAAAATAGTCGTCAGGATTCGGAGAGCATTATTTTCCACCGCAGGAACACATTGACTGCTTTTGACACAATAGCCTGCCCAACACAATGACAAGATCTAATATTGTGAAGTATTTCCATATCACGAATGCAATAAATTAAACTGAAACGAAAATAATTCGCTTCAATATATCCTCATCAAGCAGCCTCTTACGTTAATAAAACATAATATTTCATCTCCATTGCAATAATGGCCAGTTTCGATGCAGATATATTTCAACGTATAATGACAGATTGGTGACACGACATGAATAGATGGCGTTCATGTGACAAACGTGCTGGATGGGATGAATGGAATCACAAGATATTGTGAAGCGCGAGACTGTGATGATGATGGTGATTGGTCATGCATATCAAATTCGTCCAATGTGAAGAAGGAAAAGGAATAACTGGTTTCAACTTTGTCAAAAGTGTCAGGCAGATGTCTAGTACAAAATTGTAAGAATTAAGCCCGTGATAGCGGTGTACCGACAAAAGTCAAAAGTTAGGCATCAGACTGCTTATTGAGAAAATGAAGAGATATTTATAGATTTCAGTGTACATTATTATCAGCGTTATCGTTAGCAGAGAAGCAACGTCTTCTGACTGTTTGTTTTCTTGCTGAATGCTATTCTGTGCTGCTTGTGACGGTTTCTTAGAAAGTTGGGCCATTTATCTGCGAATTGTGTTTGCACACGTCAAGTCTGCTATGATTGGTTGGTGAGTTCGTCAAGGTTGAGCTTTGCTATTCTTCTATTCACGACCCTGATTTGGTACGTAACAATGACTTATATTTATGTCTACAATATCACTAAAAGCAGCACTAATAATAATAATAATTTGGAGAAGTGAAAACGGAACGGTCGATTGTATTGCGAGACTGTATGAGTTAATGTTACACATTGCAACGAAACATGATAATCATATCTGCCAGTTATAAGCAAAGCAAAAGTGTAAACACCAAGAGGGATGAGGGGAAGAGGCCCTGCAGGAGAGAACAATATATTGTAATCGAAGTCTGGCTGGCCCTGATAGGAACAGCACCTCAATGTGCTCTTCTTGAATACAGACTCGCGGTTTATTATATCTCACTGCAACAGCTTCAGCACGATGAGTGAGATGTCGGCGAATTGAGTGCGTGTTTGTATGATGGTGATGATGATGACTTCGGAACATCGTAAAGAACTGGGAAGTCTGTGTTGGCATCAATGCGATGTCGGGTATCGATCAAGTATGAAGAACTTGATGCAAGCTGGTAGGTGTTCTCGAACGTGTAGACAAGCCTGTCTAATCGTGCAGCCCTGTATGAGTGGAACCACAGAAGCAGTTCAACTGGTATGTGCACGATGAAGCGCTGAGTTTAGTTAATATATCTGGCAGCTTCTGATTGAATATTCAGCGACTGCCTATTGATGAATGGGAAGAGATTTGAACAGCAGAAAGCATTCCTAATCACTCTCAATTGACGTGTGGACATCATATTTAGATGAGTATCACCCAAATTGGTAGGTGGGAAAACATGTCTTTCACCATGTCACCATTGCTAGTCCAAGTGATCAAGTATTATGAATTATGATGGAATTCGACAATTTTTCTGTGTAACCATTCTGTTCTCAGAAAATCCCAAATGACCTCGATTTCCTCCTCTGCACAATATTCTCACCTCGCTCTGAAAGCTGAGCACAAAATCAGATTGCGTTTTATTTGTTTGGTGTGAAGCTAAGGAAGCGTGTTTATTGAACTGTGGTCCCCAGGTGTCTAACAATGATTGTTTAGAGAGCATCATATTGTCTTCCCGTCAGTGAGAAGTCAAGGAAGCGTAGAGAGTTCGTGTATACTCCTTCGTAGGTGAAATGGTCAGCTGAGATTGTCTGCGACACAGATCCCTTTTCCCTTGTCGGTGGATAACGAATTTACAATTCGGTGCATCTGACGCCTAACTAACCGTTGCTGTAAAAATAAAAATATCATACAATAAATATTTGTAGGAGCTTGAAGAGAATTTATTGAAGAGTATATGCCTTGTTCTGACTGACATTTGAAACGGTTAGACTTTGTGATCACAGTGACGATCATCGCTCTCCCTGTGGATTTGGAGGATTGGCAACTTGTCAAATTCAAATAAGCTCAGAAAGCCGAATCGAGCGCTAGCTAAGTCATTATTGCTCTTTCATTGGCCTACCAACTATACATCTTGGCATTCAACATGTCATCATCTGTCTTCAGATACAGTCCTCCATTCTGATTCATGAGGAATTGAAGAGAATGGAGAAAGTGAGAGAGAGAAAGGCAAATTAGATAACTTGCTGATAAATTCACTGTGTAATCATTTTCACGTGAATATCGAGCGTCCTACTGACTGAACACGCTCTCAACTATCAAGAGATGTTTAAATTTTCTCAATTCGCCTGAGTTAGACAAAAGATTAAGGGGAAAATTCACGACATTCGGTTAGTCTAAAGTTACCTCATTTCTCACAAATCCGATCAGGAATTGTGTGTGGAGAAAACTGAGGGTGTAAATCCAACTCTGAGTATGCTTCTCCACTCACTTC